GCGAGGGACCAGACGAGGGTGGTGGTGGGACGTCCAGGAGCCCTGCCAGGGTCTGGGCGAAGTGGATGAGGAAGGAGGGTGCTGCCAGCAGAAGCAGCAGTTCGGACAGAAGCACGTCACCTGTGTGGTTGCATGGGAGTCTGTTGGGTTAGGGGCGACGGAGGGGGAGGGAGCGGGGGAGGTCGTCGGGGTAACTCACCACAGGCAGTGAGGACTCCACCGAGCACAAGGACTTTATCCTCCTGTGCAGAGCCCTGAGGAGCGCTTTAAGCAGGGGAATTACATGAACAGATTTATCTTTTAGAAGGGCCGCTCTTGAGTGTGGAGGAGGGATTAGAGGGCTAAGAGTGGAGGCAGAGAATCCAAGCCAGGTGGTTAGTGCAGAAGTCTTGGCTGCAGGGCTGATGCTGGAATGGAGGCCTGAAGTTAGCGAGGGGATTTGGGAAGAGGAGAAAATCAGATACACTAGGAAAATTCAGTGTGCAGAACACAGTAGGGTTTTTGGGGGTGTGGGGGGTGAGGCATATGTTGGGAGTTGTCAGTACATGCTAGGCCATTGTACTCAGACAGCAGGATGTGTTTGTTTGGTTACACTAAATAAGCATTAAAATTAGAAGACTCTTTAATTGGGGTCACAAAGTGCCCTGGGAGGTATCTTGCATGTTTTTGCTGCTTTATGCTCTGGATGTATTTCAGGTTTCGAAGAACTTACGGTTGCAGCACTACTCATGTTTGACAAACAAGTGATTCTTTTAAAAACCAGTCACTGTCCCCCACCCCCTGATCTTCCTAATCTCCCTCCACTACTTGTAAAATGTATTGACTATCTTATCTCCTGCCTCTACCTATCATACCTTCCCCATCTTATGACTAAGTAAAAAAACCGGACTCTTATTTGATACATCATTTCATGAGTGTTTGTGTCTAGGGCTTTTAGACGTTTGTCAATAAAACATCCCCTGCTGACGGAGAAAACCTATAGGTCTGTTGATTATCAAACCTCCACATGCTAGAGACTGTATTGAGAGTTTTACAAAATTAAAAGAACAGTGTTTGCCCTCTAGAAGCTTGATGTTTCAAAACCAGCCTATGGCCCTGGCTGGTGTGGCTCAGTGGATTGTGCATGGGCCTGTGACCAAAGAGTTGCCGGTTGGATTCCCAGTCAGGACACATGCCTGGGCTGCAGGCCAGGTCCCCAGTGTGGGGTGCATGAGAGGCAACCGCACATTGAAAACAAGCCTACAGAGATAAAATAGGCAAGAAGATAATATCGGAAACGGTATCTACCTTGAAGCTTTCTGCAGTAGGGTTTGGCTTGAGTTGATGCTCCAGAGTCACGGCCAGGTGTTGGCAGTGTTGGTAACTGACTAACGCCAGCACTCTTCATTCTTTGACGACTTAAGGTGGAGTGTCACAGCTGAGAGCCCGGGTGCTGGGGATCTCACTTCCTAGCTCTGCCTCTTAATATATAGGTGTCACCTTGACCAAATGACTTAATCTCTGTGATTCCCATCATTATCTATGAGATGAGGATCATAATAGTGTCTGCCCTAGGATTGTTTCGAGGATTAAATGGCAGATGTATGTGATGTGCACAGCACACCAGCTAACACGGTGTGGCGCATGATAAAGACTCATTCCGAAAGCCAGAGTGCAGCCTTGTAAGGCTCAGCTGAGAAAGGTGCGCTCTGTGAGTTGCAAGGGTCATTGCTTTCCTTGCACATGAGAGCTGTGTGGCTAACCCTGAGGTCCTTTGTAGTCAGATGGTGTTGATTTTAGAGAAAATCCTGGACCACGCTTTCCTCGGGACGAGTTAGTCTTTCAAGTGTTCAAGTTACCTCTTCAGTCACATCATGTACATGACGGGTTGTCACTTCAGGGCACTCCCAGAAACAAGTGTGAAGCCAACAGGTGGCAGGGGTAATACCTTAGAGGACATTCAGGCGACGCTGCCTCTCTGAAACCTTTTTTTGATATCTGTCACCTCGCTCCTCATTTGAGTTCAACACATATTAATTGAGCACCACTATTTTTTTTTCTATGTTAGGCTCCAGGGAAACAAGGATGAACAGACAGTTCTATCCTCGTGAAACTTGCCATAATGGAAGTATATGTAAACAAGTTCAATGCACAGATGCGAACAGAAATGGAAGCGTGTAGAAGGTCCAAGCGGTACTTGGGGAGACTAGTAAGGAACATTTCACAGGTTCAGTGGCATCTCGGTAGATTTTGTATGGAATAAGAAGAGGGGGAGTCGGCAGGCCAGCATGGTTTGTACAGGAGAACTGGACCGCATGTGTTTGGGGTGGGGGGATAGGAGATGTCATTGAAGATGCAGGCAGAAGCCAGACCATGTAAGAGCTTGGCCTTGATGACGTGGACATGGGGGGCTGCTGAGGGATTTTAGGCAGTGGAATGCTGTAAGACTGGCATTTGCAGCAGGACCATCCTGGTATGGAAGATGAACTTGAGAAGGATGTTGGAGATGCTGGCAGGTTCATGTCCTCACTGCAGATTTATTAAGGCCAGTGACAACAGTCCTACTTACTTCTGTATCCTTGAAGCCTAATGCTTTGTAGACATTTAAAAATGTTTTAGAATAAAGACAGCCCAAGTTGAATTTCCCAGTTCCGCATCCTTTCCACAGAACATGCTGACCTGGACCTCCATCTGTCATGAGCAGCTTGACTGAGATCATAATAAATTCTTTCCTTCTTGGCATTCTTTTAACTGGTACTCCGTATTTACTAGTCCCTCAGTGCAACTGTAGTGTGTGGTGATGATTGATGCTTATAATTCTGACCCTGAGGTACTTCGAGCCTTCTAAATCATCAAAAGCAGATTAAAGTATATTCAATATCACTGTAATGTTTGTGTGTTTTACTGCATTCTTATTCTTTGGAAATGCATGGTTTATCACGTGCCTGTGCATGTAGGCACAGTGAGAGTCTGCAATCACCCACAACTCTACTCTCCCTCACAGTGCCTGCCGGCACAGCAACTTTGTTAGCCATGCATGCTTAGAAATAAGCAAGCAAAATAAACCTGGGGTTTCTTCTTCCCTAGGAGGAAGCAGGTTGGCCCCAAAGGTGCAGATTGGACAGAGATGAGAGAGAAAGCAGTGCTTAAAAAGTGGGAGTGAAAACACAAGCACCGGTGCAGACTAGTGGGTCAGGCAGTTTGCAGCGAGCCCAGGCTGCAGCCCAGCCCCGGAAGAGCGGGCTGGGGCAGGGACACCAGCTTCACAGCCTCATGTGCCTCGGCCCAGACCACCGGGCATGAACTCAGCAACAGTGTGCACCAGCTCTATTTGTATTACAGTAACAACTGCTCAGTAAAGTGCCGAACAGCAAGTTGTAGCGTCAATAAGTAGAGCGTCCTGTTCCCTACACTCGCACCTCCTTTCATGAAAACCGTTATCACTGCAGAGCTGACAGTATGCCTTGGCCCGGAATGAAGAGCCCCGAACGGAGGCTGAACAGAGGCCGTGAGAGGGCTGGCTCCCTTTTGTAGCCTGGCTCCGGGAAAAAGGGCGCTCCTGTTGTTACCAGGAGGGAGACGGGCGGTTTGGATTTTCTTTTGAGGCTTGTGTGTTGCAGTGAGTAGAGATGCCTCTTGCATGTGGTTGTGCAGACTTGTTTTTCGGTCTGTGTCTGATCACCAAGTCGTGCCTGTGTGGGCGCGCCCCGCTCGCTGTCCCAGCCCGGAGAGCCAGGCCCCACAGCACGGGGACTCCACACGGCACCCTCTGGGCAAGGGCGCAGGCGGACTTTAGAGCTAGCTCCACCATTTGCCAGCTCTGTGACCTGGACAAGCCTCTTCGTATCTCTGGGTCTCAGTTTTTCTTTTTCTGAAATGCTGGAATAATGTAAGTTCCTCCTTTACAGGGTTGCTGTGAGGCTGAAATACAATGCTGGACATGAAAATGCTTAACTGGGAAGCCATGTATACATAATAGCCCACTAACTATGCTAAAGCACACGATAAATATTCTAATAAAAATAGAAATGTTTCATCAGCAAACACGGCGCCCTCAAAATTTTCCCCAAAGTACAGTGGGGAAAATGAACTGTTTATTGAATTCCTACTGTAGAATATATATTCTGACTGTTACTGGATCCATTCCACAAGCTAGAGGTTAAATCCCTCTTTCAGAGATGAGAAAACTGAGCTTCTAGTCGCACAGCTGTATATACACAAAGCATAAGTGGGAGTTGGACCTCACTCCAGAACTTAATGCTCCTTCTGCTCATGTCAAGTTGTTTGTCTGATTACACCTCTCCCTCCTCCAACGTTCTTCAACGCTGGGAAGTCGCTAGCCATTTCTTAGCCATCCACTCCTGCAAGTGGGAACTCCTGAGCTCCCACAGCCCCTGGAGGGACCAGCCGCTCCAGGAGAGTCGGGGTGCGGGGCGCTGAGACTCCACCGTCAGCGAGCTGGCCGGGCCTGGGCTGGAAGCAAGGAGGCAGGTGTGCCGCCTTTCCCAGCCCTTGAGATGGCCATAGCCCCGGAGCTTCTGGGAGTTCATGCTGTCTCTGCCACACTGTTGTCCGGCCTCACGGAGGTGGTTTGGGGAGCCGCTGCATGGATCCTCCCCACCCCAGGAATCAGTGCCTCTCGTTCATTCTGACCAGCTCCTTGTTCTGCTGGCAGAGGGAGTGAGATTACATTGATTCCATGTGGAAACCACTCTGCTGAGCTTTTCTGGGACCCTCCCTGTTAACTCTGATGCCAGGTATTGGGGGAAGGATCCCCAAGGTGGCGGTTCATTAACTGCCCAGTGGGACCCACCACCACATGCCTTCTCTTTCATATATCAAGTTTTCGCCGTTCCAGACAGACAGAGGCGGCTTGTGAACTGCAGCTGCCCACACAGAGAACCAGAGATAATGCCTGCTGAAGGGCCAAATTGAATATTCAGAGGGAGGGTGTCAGCGTGTGGGAGCAGCATTTGTTCAGACCGTGGATCTGAGAGGAGCTGTGTGTCGTGTTTCCATAGGTTCTCAACAGGAGGTGCGTAGAGGCGGCAGTGATGACAGGCCTGGCCCTGAACTGCCGCATAAACAAGAAGTCCTTGTTTGACAGGAAGCACTACTTCTATGCAGACCTCCCTGTAAGTATGCTTTGTGGCCTGTCCCCTGCAAGTTCTCAGGAGCCGTGGGTTCCTGGAGCCAGGGAGGAGGGCGAGCCTCTCATGTTTTCCATCAGAGCTCTGTCCCCCTCAGCGGGAGGTGCTGCTCAGCCCGGATGAAGACGGGAGCCCCCGATGTTTACTAGATTGGATGCAATTGTCCTGATTGCTGACTCCTTGCTTAGCCTCATGCTTCTGGCGGCTCGCTCATAATTGAACGGGGAGTAGAGGCCGCTGTTCCCAGGCTCAGCCCAGCCGTGGTGTTTGGCGCTAATTGCCTGTTAGGACAAAAGCTAACTCTGGGGCTGATGCGATGGTAAATGCGCACTGTAGCTCTGTAGAGGAAGCAAGGGCTTCACTCTTTTAAGTTGAAGTTCCCAGTAATAGGACTGTCACCTCTGGAAGCATTTCTATCATCTCACAAGGAGCAAGTAAGTGGACGATAGTAAGCAGAAACATGAACCAGATGTCTAGACTAACAGCCGCAATCGGCTGAGCAGTAAACCCAATATTAACCTGCTTTTTCCTTAAAATTAGAAAGCGTTTTTCTCTGAGAAAAGCCAGTGGGAACTAGAGCCAATTTTTTATAATGTTGAACAGGACCAAACTGTAATGTTGGCTGTGTTTCCCCAAGTGATGTTTCACTTGATCAGAGCCTCGGACACTCAGAGTGGCCCTTCTTCAGATTGAGAAAAATGGCTGTGATGATACTGCTTCCCGCTCTTCTTGAACTGGAGACTGGGGTGGGCTGTTTCTTAGTAAGTGAGAGCGGGAGGAAACTTAAATAAGAAAAAAACTAGAACCTGAACTCTCCAGTTGCTGCTGCTCTTACCCTCTGGCTCCCAGCCTTTAGAACACTCTACTCTTTCCTAAGGTGGAGAGAATGAACCCGAGTGCTTTGCATCTTTGAAGAGTTGATAACCCATTTGGTTAGGGTGGGAGACTTAGTGATATGTGACTGAAATGAGATGTTTTGATTATCTGTGGCTTTGTATTCTTTGTGGCCCAGTAGCTCAGATAATTCAGAGTTAGTGTTGCCAAGTATTACATGGGACATACTTACACTAAAAAAGTACTCGTTATTTATCTGAATAAACCATTTATTCAAATTATTCGAATTTGAATTTAACCAAGCATCCTGTATTTTATTTGGCAGCCCTACCCCAAGTTTAATTTTTATGAATCGAGACTTCCTGTTTTCATGTAGAGGATGAGTTGGCCTAAAGCCGTGGTCCTCACCTCAGAGTCTGGTTCCTGGGCCACCAGCCTCAGCTCCTCCTGGGAATTTGTCAGAAATTCTCAGGCACCACCCCAGACGTTTTGACCAGTGTACCTGGTGATTCTGAAGCAGCTACAGTTTGAAAAACGCTGGCCTCGTGTCTAGGACTACTGATTCTGAAGCCCGACCATTCAAGTTCAAATCCTATTGTTGATACTTACTAGCTAGGTGACTTTGGGCAAGGCCCTTAATCCTCACCATGTTGTGTACCTCCTTCCTAGGGTTATGGGGAGTAACATGCTGAGAACACAGTGTCAGAGACTCCAGTAAGCTCTGCAGGCGCTTCAGCTGTTCTGTGTTCTTCTCCAGTTCTCCAGTATCGGTCTGCCACCTCTGTAGCAAATGTTGATGTGTATGTGTATCTGAAAGTGATTCTTCCTCCATCTAGGAGGAGGTGAGGGAGCCTCCTAAGGTCCATCAGTATTTTACTACTGTGTGCTTTCCATTAGCTGAGTATGAGTGTCCCAGCAGTTTCTGGCTGGAGGAACAAGGAAAGTTGGGTCAGGGAGGGCAGCTGGCACAATTGGTTAGCTTAAAAAACAGGAACAAAACAAGCTTATGCTAGTAGCAACTGCTGTCAGCAGTGCTGAGAGTGGATAACAAATGCTTAGCCAGCACTTCCCAATAAGGAGGGTCTGTCAGGAGCCCAGTAATCAGATGCAGGGTTTAGGCTAATGAGCTAAGTGGAAACAATACATCCTTTTCTTAGAGGCCTCTGACAATGAGATTATTGTTATTCCCCAAAATGGAACTTCAGTAGGGAAGATAGGATTCGTGTTGTTAATTGCATCATTATTTTCAGGGTGAGGGGTCCAGGGAAGGTTAAGGAGGATGGAAAAATCCAGAAGAGGCCAGGCTGAATTATGGCTGCAAGGCATAAACTAATTGTTCTTCCCCCTTTCCTTTTTCCTTTCTCATTTAGCCATGTTGTGTTTTTATGTAAGCCTGCACTTCTATGACACTTAAAAGGTGTAGTACACTGGACCCGCCTTTTACTTATGGACCAGTGACTACATAATGCATGTTTGTGTGCAGGCAGGCTACCAAATCACCCAGCAGAGGCTCCCGATCGCTGTGAACGGGAGCCTGGCCTACAGCGTCTGTGTGGGCACGAAGCGGAGTCAGGTGATCAACAAGACCGTGAGGATCAAGCAGATCCAGCTGGAGCAAGACAGTGGCAAAAGCCTCCACGATGACCTGCGTTCTCAGACTCTCATTGACTTGAACAGGGCAGGTAGGCTGAGAGATCTTCTGTAACTTCCTGCCAGCATCCCTGCCTGCCCCCCAGTTCCCTAAGCCAGTCGAGGACCCAGGCCCAGGAGCCTGATGATGGGGTGAGAATGTCAGTGCTGACACTGGCACAGCTGATCCGAGAGCCAGGATTACTGCTGGGCTTGCTGACAGCCCATCCCTGAAATGAGGCAAACGTAGCCACCTAGTCAGGACTCCACAGCCGGATATCTTAAGTAGACTTTAAATGAAATGAACTCAAGAATCAAAAAATGGGGGGCAAGAATCAAGTTAAAAACCAATGCAGAAGCTCGGACCCACTTCAGCGGTCCTTCAGCAGCACAGGGCAGGGTTTTCCAAAGGGTTCGGCTGACTTATCTGCTGATCAGACTGGAGCACCCCCAGCCGGGCTGACGCTGTCTCTTGTTTGGTAGGAGTCGGCCTTCTGGAAGTGGTCCTGGAGCCAGACATGTCTTGTGGAGAAGAGGCGGCCACAGCCGTCAGGGAGCTGCAGCTGATACTTCAGGCTCTGGGGACCAGCCAGGCCAACATGGCAGGTAGCAGCCACCCGAGCAGTGCCCCTCCTTCTCCACCTTCTCCCTTTCTGCTTCCAGGGTCTCTGCGTTTGGGTGTTATTCTCCGCATCAGCTACGTCGAGGTGGTCTACATCTTTTTTTCAGCTTTTTGCATTTCTGGTTGTTTTGTTTTTTTTCTTAGAATTTTCCTTGGATTCTTTTCTGAGCTCCTGACCAAAATAAACACACTAAAACAACAGTACAGAGACACTGAGCCCAAGAATGTGAGATTAGGAGTCACAGGAGTAGATGCTTTTTCTGTGGCTTCATGCATCAAAATGTTGTGAGGATTAATGGAATAATGTGTTTGAGCCGTTTGGTCCTTCTCATTGAGAAGACCCTGTGTTCACCTGGGGTGGGTCTCAGTGAGTGAGTGCTGTGTGGGCACCACTTCTTTGTGGGCTGAGGCTCTTCCCTTGAGTCTCTCTCTTTTCCTTCCTTTGTAGAATTTTCATCCAACTGAAACCAAATTATATAAACTGTAAGCCCAGGTTATGATTTCACAAAACCTTAACTTTGAGATAAACTCTTAAGTTCAGTGGAAATATGGTAGGAAGTTAAAATAAACAAAAAAACCCACTTCCTACTTGTACCCTTGGAACCAAACAAACAGTACATTTCCAGTGTTTGTATATTGGACGTGAAGATTGCCAGTATCAGTCAAGCTCAGTTTTGTCCTGGTTCGCTCCCTTGGCCTCTTCCTAGTGCAGCTCTGCCGGCCCACAAGTCCCGAGAGCTAGTCTCTTCAGTGGTTTTCTCCCTATTTTCTGTTCCCAGGGGCTTAAAAAAAAAAAAACTTCTGCCTCCCACAGAGCATTCCCTAACAGTGGAGAAAGGATACGGCTTCTGCAAGTACAGTTAGTCTGCAGCTCACTACAGTGGTATATCAGGGTTTTCCACAGAAACAGACCCAATAGAGTAGAATGCGTGTATGTTACACATGTATATATATTTATACATGATGAGATTTACTATAAGGAGCTGGCTCATGTGACTGTGGAGCTGAAAAGTTCCAAGATCCGTGGTCAGGAAGCTGCGGGAGAGTTCGTGCAAGCGAGCCAAGCTGGGTGAGAACTGATGGTGTAGTCCCAGTTCAGGGCCAAAGGCCTGAGAACCGGGAGAGCTGAGGGTCTAAGTTCCAGTCTGAGCCCAAGTCCAAAGACAGAGCAGATTACCACCAGCTCTGTCTTTTGTTCTAGTTAGGCCTTCAGTGGATTGAATGGGGCCCACCCACAGCGGGGAGGGCCATCTGCTTTTCTCAGTCAGTGAATTCACATGTTAATCTCATCCAGAAATTCCCTCACAGACACATCCAGAAAAATATTTAACCGACTGTCAGGGCACCCCATGGCCCCATCAAATTGACACATAAAATTAGGCATCATGAGCCCTGACTGGTGTGGCTCAGTTGGTTGGAGCATTGTCCTATACACCAAAAGGTCACGGGTTCAATTCCCGGTCAGGGCACATTTGGGAGGCAACTGACGTTTCCCTAGCATCCGTGTTTCTCCCCCCCGCTCCCTCCATCTCTAGACGTCTCTAGAATCAATAAATATATCCTTGGATGAAGATTAAAAAAAACATTAGCCATCGTGAGTGTTCACAGTGGTTCCAGTAAATACCACTAATAATGATGAATCATCTCCCTGCCGGTTTATAATGCCATTTACCAACCTTTTTGTGCCATGTAATATGTTTGCATGGTGCAGAGGGACTTCTGAATTTGTAATACCACATTTGTTACATAGGGCATCATATAAGCAACAAATTGTTACATCAGAGCACTGGTACAAATCGAATCTGAAGCCAGAACTTGGTAATTTGCTTTCTCCTTTAAGCTAAAGACGGGAAAGGTGCTAGCCACGTGAGTGAGTGGTGTAACGGTTAGCCGCCTACAGGTTTGCTTTAGAGAAGTGAGGCTGTGTTTTAGAGTAAGGCAACACTCCCTTTTAGATTTATGGCTCCTGCTGCTTTTCACCCTCAGAAATAAGTGAAATATGGTCAAGCTGGACGGTTATCCGTTTATGCACTAAGTGTTCATTCTCTATTGCTTTAAAAAAAGTTTTTATTATTCCATTCTTCTTCAAAATAACTGTGCTTTCTTCCAAACCTATGGAATAATAAACAGGCCACCTGTTAGCTAAAAAATACCCCATCTGGGTCCTTGCCAAGAGATAAACCATAACGGCAAGAATGCATCAGTTCAGTGACAGCTGAGCGGGTTCATTAAATCGCATTGGCTGTGACACTTTTTGTTGCTTATAAACACAGATTTAGCAGCCTTGCCTGGAGCACAGCAGCAGAGGGGCTGTGGCGGTTCCGGGGTGCCATGGGGAGGGAGGAAGGTCTGCTGAGCGACTGCAGGGGTCCAGCTCTTCGTGCTGTTCCAGGGTTCTCAGCCCCGACCCCTTTGTTCCCACCGTTGTGGGACAACCGTGTGAGCACTGGAGACTGCAGTTGGGGAACTGAGGCCACTCTAGCAAGAACCAGCGGACCCCCAGGGTGCTTTGGGGGCAACTCTTAAATTCCTCTGGGCTGTGGTTCAGTGAGCTCCTGACAGTTTTGCTGATGAGCACAGACCAGCTCAGCCTGGATTCCAAAAGTCATTTCCTTCTCGGTGGACATCTGCCACCGTTGGGATCCTCAAAGCAGTCTGTCGGGTTGAATGTGTATCTGCATGGACATCCTATGTTTCAGTGGTAGTAGTATTTTCAATTTGGACATTTAGCGTGTGCTCATTGGTTCACTAAGTATCGTTAAAATTAATTTATCATCTCATTTAAACTTTACAACATTCCTGCGAGAGAGGTGGTGTTGTGCCTGTTGTACAGGTGAGAAGACTGAGGCTTGAGGAGGTTGGACTGTTTGCCCGAAGCTCTCAGAAAGTGACTGAGGTAGGATTTGAGCCCAGGTGTGTCTGAGTCCGGAAGCCCTTTCTTGCAGCACTGCCACACTGCCTCCTACTGGCAACCATGCAGTGTCGTCACTGCTAGAGGCAACTTAGAAAGAGTATGGTGGAGCCTGGGTGCTGGCGCCCAGGTCCAGGCCTGGGTTGGAATCCTGTCCTGCCGCCTCTAGCTGTAGACACCTCCACTCATTAACAAAATGAGCCCCCAAATAACTATGTATGGGAAGGGAAAGGAAGAAGCCAAACAGGAAAGAAGTCATCCGAGTCTTGGGGCAGAGCTGGGGCGGCAGGGGCCGTGGTTGACTGGGGCGAGGAAGATTGGGAGAGCAGTGCTCCGTGGGAGAACATCTGAATTCCGTGTCGGAGGGGTTAAGTTTAAAACGCCGAAAGGGTGTCTCAGTGGCTCTGTCATTAAAACTGGGTTGTCGGGAGCAAGCATGACGATGTGTGTAGAACTCATCACCGGTCCCGACAAACAGCAGTGCTCGGTCTCAGTGGGTTCAGCAGTAGCCAGTAGCCGAGCTTTCACAGAACCACCGCTCACTGTAGACGAGTCCGCCTTGTGAAATACGCTTGATACAATCTGGTTGTTTTCCTCCTTGTCAGACCTTGTTGTTTAAGTTCTGCAGAGTATTCAGTGATCAGAACGAGATAGCTTAAAGACTCCTCACTAAATAAAGCCTCAGGCCCCTGCTGTTCACAGAAACAGCTTTCTGTCCTGATGTTATATTTCTGAGGTATGCCTGTGTTTTAGAGAAAAAGATGTGTAACTGTAGCATATCACTGTGCTCAGTGGTCTAGTGCTTTAGCTCTGCCATTACGAATCTCTCCTTCCAGAGAGTAGAAATTGAGCTTGATAACACTCTCATGACATGTGAGTGGAAGCCCTCCCTTCGTGTTGCAGAATGCACTGAGTAAGCCGGACTAGTAAGGCTTTTGTGCACTGGAGGCAATTTAACTTAATTTGTTTAAAAGGTATTTTGTCTTCACTGGCTAGAATGTCTTTTGTTAGTGTTTGATATTCTCTTTGAATCCAGACTAGAGGAACTCTCTTTCAACACTGCGGGATACTAAATGATTCCTCTCAAACATTCATATAGTATGGTCTTCTCTGGGAGAGACTGAAATTCATGCTTTTATTCCATTTCCAGATTAGAATTCTAAATTGTGAAAGATAGTTTTGTTCTTAAAAGCAAGTGAGGTCCAATTCAGGGTTCCCTGAGTTCCAACAAAGTTGTCTCTCAAGGATTGAGATTTGATTGAGTAGAGCTCAGCGTACTTTGGAAAGTTTTTTGTTTGTGGGTTTTTTGTTTGTTTTTAAAGCTGAATGAGACTTTCAAATTATTCCAGCTGAAGAATAGTCCTATTAGAATTTATCAGGAACCTACTGTGAGGCAGTAACTGGTCTGCTTACTCATTGCTCAGGGAAATACCAAAATTTTTGCCCTGGCTGATATGGCTCAGTGGTTCAGTGTTGGTCTGGGATTCAAAGGGTCGCTGGTTCGATTCCCAGTCTAGGACACATGCCTGGTTTGCAGGCCAGGTCCCCAGTAGGGCGTGCACAAGAGGCAATCACACATTGATGTTTCTCTCTCTCTCTCTCTCTCTCTCTCTCTCTCTCTCTCTCTCTCTCTCTCTCCCCCTCTCTCCCTCCCTCTCTTCCCCTCTAAAAAATAAAGACATATAATATTTTGTAAAAATACTAGAGTTTTGACTTGTTTAACAAGGTATTAATTTATTGAACTGTTCCCATGTGCCAGACCCAGCTCTGGGTTCTGGACATAGCAGTGAAGAGGCTGTTGTTCCTGCTATATTCACAAACTTATATTCACGGGGGAGGGAAAATCATTAACAAAGAAAGCAAAACAATTATAGTGATACGTGTGTTAAGGAAACAAATAGGGAGCCATGAGCAAGAATAACATGGGACGATGAAGGCCTCTCAGAGGAGGCACCATTCATTTGAGACCTGAAGCATGACCCCGGGCCAGCCAGCAAGGAGCCAGGGGGTGAGCGTTCCCAGGAAGCGCTGAGGCCAAGCCCCAGAATGGGTAAGAGTGTAGGAGATGCCCGGAGTTCACTCAGGTCACAGCAGGCCGCTGCAGGGAACGTGTACCACGCTCGGGAATGTGGCATCGAGCAAGACTGAAAAGGGAGGCGGGGGCTAGATTACCAATCATGGTAAGAAACCTGAGTTTCGTCCCACCTGCAGTGGGAAGCCATCAAAGGCTTTTAAGCAAGGGACTGACTTAGTCTATATAACGTTTTAGAAAAAGCCACTCGGGCTGCTCAGTGGAAAGTGGGTTTCAGAAGGGTAAGAGGAAGCAAGGAGACCAGTTAAGAAGCTTTTGTAATAGCTCAGATGGAAGACGATGCTTTTGTGGACAGGGCTGGTATCAGGGAAGATGGACAGATCATGATGGGTGGATGCAAGAAGGTTTTTTAAAATAACGGGACTTGTTACCAGGCTGAAATGGAAGGCAAAGGACAGAAAGAAATCAAAGATGCTTTTAGGGAAGACCGAAAAGATGGGTCGCGGTGCTTCGATTGAAATTGCGAGCGAAGGTGGGGACGAGAATGGCTGTGGCAGGGGGTCGGGGGCACCAAGCAGGATTTAGTTTTAGAAACTGAAATACCTTGGAGACCTGCAAGTGGGGGTGCCAGGTAGACGTTGGAGGTCAGTGTGGAGCTCAGAGCAGAGGTCTGCACTGAGGAGATGAGTTCAGGGATCATCGGCAATCGATGGTATTTAAATGAAATACCCACACAGCGAGAGCATAAGCAGAGACTAGTCCTGAGTCTGGTGGGAGAGAAAGCCAAGCCAATGAAGTGGGAACGGAGCATCCCAGGGAGGCAAGAGAGCGTGGGTCTCAGGAGCTGAGAGGCAGGTGTTTCAGGAAGGAAGGATGGGTGGGTGTCTCGCCTGCTGCTGAGGTCTCCTGTCGGGTGAAGGTGGAACGTGTCCTTTGCCCATAGGGTTTGGCCGCCACTCCGACGAGTCACCTTCTGAGAGGTGGGGGCAGAAGCCAGACCTAAGTGGGTTTAGATGTAAATGGAAGGTGAGGTCATGGAGATGGTGTGTGTAAGAACAAAACTTGTTTGTGAGGATTTGCTGCCTAGGAAAGGAGGGAAACAAAAGCTTAATGGTGGAGAGAGAACTGGGTTTCAGGGAGCAGGGCTTTGGTTTTGGTTGGTTTGTTTGTCTTTCATGAGCAGTGCTGTGGCACAGGTACGTATCAGAAGTGGTGCTGAGAAAGGGCAGTGGATGGCTGGTGCGGGAGAGGGGAGCTGACAGCGTGAGGTCCGTGGGAAGACGAGAAGGGTGGGGGTTAAAAATCTGGGCCCACTGCTCAAAGGCCTGCCCTCCTGGCCTTACAGATAAGATTAATTCAAAACAGGCTATAGACATGTGCTAAGTTCCATGGTGTTGGTTGTGTGTATTCTAATCACTCAGAGAAACCGGCAGTGGCAGCCAGCTTATGGATAAGGGTTTTTAGGAGGAGAAGGCGGTGACTTCGGTGGGACCCCGACAGGTGAGCAGAGGTTGAAGAAGGGGCAGTAACTCCGGTGAAGAGAATGCGAGGGAGAGGAGCAGCGGGGTAGACAGCGCCTTGTGAGGAGGGGGCCCCGACCGGAGGAGAGCTTTCTCATGGAGTGTGCAGGGGGCAAATGGGGGCCGTGCCAACCACGTCCAGAGGAGGGCTCTTGACTACCAGCAGAGGAGATGAGGTGGTCTGCTAGGAGCTGGCTGTGCACCTGCGCAAGCAGCGGGAGTGTGGAAACGACATCGGGCAGGAGGAAAGTCAGAGCCGCATCCTAGGAGACAAGGAGGGCTGCCATGTAGAGTGTCAGGATGCGATTCCATGATCTGGACTTGAAGTTCCAAGTCCTCGGGCAAGGGCGGCAACAGTGGACATAGAGAGGAAGTGACAGGTATGAGGGATTTGGGAGGGAAGAACTGATAGGATTTGGCTGTCAGTGTGGACAAAGAAAACAGAAGTAGAAGATGACCTCAGGGGTCCTGGACCAAGAATCTGATGATGTCAGGAATAGTCGGAACAGATTGTCCACAGGGGGCCAGAGGGTTTTGTAAAAGTGCTGAGATGTCCACCATAGAGACGGAGGGTGATCCCGGCCTGAAAGGCGCCTCTTCCCTGGCGGTCAGCCTGGGCCGAGTTGCCTTCGCACAGTGGTGAGCTGGCCCCTCCCCTGAGGGAACTGAGTGGCGGGCAGGGCAAGCGGCAGCCGGCCATTGGCCCCACAGCTCAGCTGTGGGAGTGTGACAGAGACCAGGTCTCCTCTCGTGGCATGGGAGTTATTTATACCATTTTATTATTTTAATATGCATTTGCTGTGGAATTGGGGGGAATGTATTTCTTTATTTAGCCTATCAGAACACTTAGGTTTGGCAGATTATTTTTCCATCTAAAAACCTGCCTAGGAAAATAATAATCCAGCATTTTGTCTTCTTATTCTGTCCTATTTTGAATATTGTAAATGAAAACGGAGAACAGAGAATTTGAGCTTTACTGAGTGTTTCTTAACGACCCCTCCCTCTTTGTCTTGGGATTTTGCCCCCACCCCCTCCTCCTCTAGAGCCTCAGAGTTCACCCCCCGGCCAACCTGCTGCTGCTTTAGGCTTACTGCTCCCAGTGTGAAGGGCTTTGGGGTCAGAGCAGGCTCTCCCAGGCCGGGGCCAGTGTCCGCTGAGCCGCACCTCAGGCCCTCCCCTTCCTAACAGTTCTGTCGGCTGTAGCAAATCCGCACAGCAATCAGGGAGGGTTCAGAGTCGAGTTAGTGGAAGGAAGGGATCGTTACAGTACAGGTTTCTGGCTCTTGCCCGTGAGCTATAAATGCTCAAGGACTCTCTTACAAATCTTCTGGCATCACTGTGGGGAACCCACGTTGCATTGGAGAGCAGTTGAGGGCATCAGATAGTCATTGCTGAGGCTTCCTGACAACCAGGCTCTGGCACTTTGGAAAAACCTGAGAATAAAACTGCTGAGTAAGTCTCCATTTTAAGAAATGAGATTTCCCTAGCTGGTGTGTCCAGAATTTCCCCTCTCTCCTTCTGCATGTGCACAAGTGCACACACACACACATATGGACACACACACAGCAGAAGCTTTAGGACCAGAACCCTCTTACGCAGATGGAAGTGCCAGCCGTGCACTGCAGGACCAGCTGCACCTTCTCTGAGGTTAGGTCGCTGTGACAAGGCACAAGTGGGAGTAGATGGTGCCTGCCTGGACCCGCTGGCCTTTAAAAGACCATGTGGCTTCAAGAGGATCTCTAAAGAGTTGTCTGTTTTCTCTCCTTTCAGAGGGCCAGCTGAGAGTGGATGCCAATATATCTGTGCATCGCCCTGGGGAGCCTTTGGGCGTTCGAACTGAAGTGAAGAATCTCAACAGTGCCAGGTTCTTGGCCAAAGCCATAGGTGAACATCAGCCATTACTTCTAATGCACGTCTGTGTGTCAGTTATCTACTGCTGCGTAACAAGCCGCCCCAGGCCTTAGTGACTTGTACAGCCAGTTAACTTCCCATAGTTCTGTGGGTCAGGTGGTCTTTCTGCTGATCCTGCCTCAGCTCACTCATGTGGCTGTGGAAGCTGGCAGCTCAGCTGAAACAACGGGCCTGAGAGGACCCCCCTCACAGGTGGGGCCTTGGTGCTGGATGTCTGCTGGGCTCCTCTGTCCATAGGTCTTTCTCCATTCGCTGGCATAGCCCAGGCCCACTTGGCTGGCATCGGGGGACTCCAGGATGAGAACTCCTGACAGGCAACAATTTGGATCTGGAGTCACTCAGCCAGAGAGTGGTCCCAGCCCTTCTTCTGCCCAGTTGTGTGATCCGTCCAGGGTCACTCCATCTCTCTGAACCCAAGATTTCTCAAAAAGGGAGGAGTGCTTCCTAAAAGGCCCTGTTAAGCACCATTCTGTGATGGAAACAAGAAGGAAACAGAGTGTACAGTGTACAGCAGTCTGTGTCCCCTTGTCCACAGGACACATGTTCCAAGACCCCATGGACGCCTGCAACTGCAGGTGGTACAGAACCCTATCGATACTGCGTTTTCTTCTGTACATACCTGTGGTCACATCTGATTTATAAACTAGGCACAGTAAGACATTAATAATAATAACTAACAAAAAATTAAACGGTTATAACAATAGATGGTGGTAAAAGTTCTGTGCATATGGTGTCTGTCTATCAGAACATCTTACTGCACTCTGTTCACCCTTGACTTGTGGTGGGAGGTGACACAGTGCCTTGGTGTTGACACGAAGGGAGGTGAATAACTATTTTTTGAGTTAGAGATTTAAAAACTTTTAAATATTGCTTGGTTGGATGAAAGGAATCAAAAATATGGTACTAAATTACTGTGTTTTTCTTAGACTATGAAATTCAGAGGCAAATCCGAGAACTTGAGAACGGAGGTGAAATTCTGAATGAAACTCGCTCCTTTGATTACAAGCTGGGGTGAGTCTGTGCTGACCAGCACCTTGGGCGTGGCCGGCTGGGGCTTCAGCAGGGCTCACCAGAGACCAGACAAGCGACTCTGAAGAACTTGCTTAGCTTCTCTGCACTTCGGTTTCCTCATTAGTAAAATTACAAAGATACTGCATCCTACAGCGGTGGTCCCAGCCTTTGTGGCACCAGGGACTGGTTTCCTGGAAGACAGTTTTTCCAGGGATGGTGGGGTGGGGTGGGGAGGTGCTGGGTGAGGGGAGGAGGTGGGCTCAGACAGTAATACTAGCGCGTGGCTCACCTCCTGCTGTGGGGCCTGGTTCCTAGCAGGCCACAGACCGACACTGGTGCATAGCCCCGGCATGGGGGCCCTGTCCTACACGGCGATGATGCACCCTACAGGGCTGGTGAAGAGTTGAAGCTGAGCCCAACTTCTTACACAGCACCGATCTTAGGCCCCGTCCCTGCCCTTGCTTCTGAGTTACCTGCTTTGTAGCAAGAATTTTTATTTCCTCAATTTCTATCAGACTAAAGCTCTACCAATTTAAGCTAGAGGTGTAGAGCTCTAGCTTACAGAAAGTGTAGAGCTGGCTGTAGAGGTGCCCTTTTTTGTTTAGATAACATTGACTTTAATTTTTCTAACGCAGAAATTTTGAGGATTTTATACTTTTAGCAGAAGACTAAGCAAAGCTCAAAAGCCTAGACTTGGAGCTGGTTAAAAGCTCTTTGCATTGAAGCAGTTTCTTTTTTTTTAAATTAGCATTCTAAACATTTTTCTTTTTTAATATTATTTCTTAATGTAGTCATGCAGTGTCTCCCAAGGAAGGCTGAAGAGCTGGAATTCGCCTGTGTCCCTTACCGGCAGGGAACCCCCTCTCTGAATGTGTGCCGGCCAGGGCCGGTACACTCCCTGTTTACCGTTTCCTTGTCTGACTACCGCAGGTGCACTGTGCCGATGAGAGACAAGGAAGGAAAACAAGACTACAGGTGATTACTCATCTCGGCAAGTAGCATTGTGTACTTGGGGTTAGAGGCGTATTTCAGATCCACTTAGAGATCAGCCTAATGATCCTGGGTAGATTTTCAGGAACCAGTTTTTGTTATTGTTACACGATGGAAAATCTAGACTTCCTGTTGTAGTGTACACGGAGAGGAACAGTGTATTCCTAAGCTGGTAGCCTTGGAGTCCCTTCTTAGAGGTGACCCAGCTGTGGGAAGACACTTGTTTGCTTGCCCCCGTGTGCGAGTTATTACACCTGAGCTAAGAGGATGGCTGTTGAGGGTGGGGCTGGCCTGTTCTCACTCTTGCATTCAGGAGCAAATTCAGGAAGGCACTGAAGTTCCTTGAGAAGAAATGAAAAAACAGATGTATTTGTTCCTGCCACTTTCCTGCAAACCTCAAGTGGTGCTATTTAATTGATAAATTAAACAAGTTGGACTTACTATGAGATCCAGAAATAAAGTAATTAAGGACAGGCTTAAGATGAAAGCTTTTATTTTTTCCCAATTCAGTTTAGCAGACTACAAAAATTGAAGTTTCGTGCATTAAAGTTGCTGAGGTTAGCCCACGTTTCTTTGCTGGTGTGCAGGAAGATGTAAATGCAGCTACTGTTGACCTTGAGGATGTGGCAAAGAAGAAGCTCATAACCCTTTAGAGTGAACTTCACCTCAAGGACTCCTCTCGTGATGTCTGTCAAAGTGGGGATGGTGTGAATTTCTGTGGTCTTCTGGGGTCAGTCTATTCTCCCCAAGAACCTTCATCCCCCAGTGCTGCCCATACTCTGTCCCTGCTGCTTTCTTACGAAGCATGGAGTAGACTCGTGGTTTAGCCAGTGGCTCCTGCTTGAGCCCTCAGGTTAATAGACAGGATGGATTCCCTCTTACTTTCAGAAGCCCCACTGATTCACAGCACAGATTTGCCGTCAAGGTGACAGGTTGCTTACACTTCTAATCTGTCACCTCGGCGCCACCATTTGTTCTGCATCTGCACGAACCCCTTGACAAGAAGAAGCAGAGAGCAAACGATAGATGCTGGAATAAAACGGAGGGAAGGGCATCTTTGTTTCCTAAGAATATAAGCAGTGGTGCAGCTTCACATTTCAAAAAGTCAACTGACTGTTTTTTAGAGCGGTGTTGGGTTTAGAGCAGAACCGAGTGGTAATTACAGAGCATTCCTGTATGTTCCTTGGTGTATAGCGGAGACCAAATACTTCCTCTTTCCCCCTCAATTTCCCCTAATAATGCCCTGCATCGGTGTGTGGTGTGGTACATTTGTTACAATTGATGGACCGAAGTCGATACCTTATCATTAACTAAAATTCGTAGTGCACATTAGGGTTGGTCTTTGTGTTGGACATTCTATGGGTCTGACAAATGTATAATGGCATATATCCAGCATTACAGTGTCATTCAGGATAGTTTCACTGCCCTAAACATCCCCCGTCTGGACTTGACCCCTCCCTCCCTCCTTCTGCTCCAGCTTCTACCTTTTATTTAGGCAAAATCCATTCATCTCTCTTACTTCTCAAGAAAGTGTTTTCTTATTCTTTGACTCTTCATTTATTACACAAACACTGCTAAAAATCGTGGACATTTTAAAATCATGGAATGCTCCCGTTTGGCCGCATGTCTTCGTGGATGTGTGCTCTGTCCACAGCCACACGCTGCAGCGCGGCACCACCCGAGCTGCACCTTCTCCACTCGTCACTGGGCTGTAAGTGTGGAGAGCGGCAGGGTTGGTGTCTCTGGCTGTGGTGTACATTTGTAAACCTAGTAGCAAAGACTCGCTCCTAGGAAACGAGGGGCCACCGTTGATATTGTAAGATATTAGAAATATTTGCAAGTAAGTGGCCTCTATGCACAGAAACTTGCATACTGGTGGTAGGTTTTTTTCTTATTAAACTAAGTACTTCAGAGCCAGGCCCTATCTCCTTTCTGCCTAGGTTCATCCCCGAGCCCAACCTGCCGCCCCTGCTGCTCTACGACTTGGCGTCTCTGCCTGCTGGCGCAGACCCGCAGCAGGTGGTCAACATCGACCAGATTCGGGAGCGGCTCCCCGAGCTGCCCAGCGTGACCCGGGAGAAGCTCGTGCAGCAATATGGGATGCTGCCAGAACAAAGCCTCACCTTAGTGGTGAGTACTGCTCAGGGGCTCGGTGACCCAGTGCAGCGGTCGGGGTAACGCTGCACAGTGGGCTCTGGGTGGCAGGGGCAGGTTGCCTCGGTTGTACGGGGGATGCTTCTGAGCGCAACAAGGCGTGCTGACCTTCGCTCAGTGCCCTAAACGTAATGCTTCTCATGAAAGCGGAAGCAGAATCTCGTGTCTCGTTTCTTCTGCGTAGAAATGTTCGGCTGCTCACGGCAGCTGTGAGGCTTCCCGAAGAGCATTCAGATGTTATGGGTGAGTGTTTTCCCCTGTGTCTGCAGGACACCAGAAAATCCACGTATGGGGTTTCCAGCAGTAATGAACCAGCACGGGGTCTGGCAGGAAGTTAGGTTCTCAAAAGCCAGCCTGTCATTCTACCAGTTGTGCAAGGAAACATTTATTCCACGTGAAATGCTAAAAACTCTGACTAAAAGTATCGGTTCTTCGAGGCCTGCGGATGTGTCTGAAGGGGCACTAGAGAATCTGACACCGCCGAGGTCTGCATAGGGACCCCCCTGCTCTTCAGAGCTGCCCGGGCCCTGCAGTTTTCTTCGCCGTGGCAGCCCTGAGGTGGCGCGGCCCCAGTGAGCGTGGCGTGGGGCACAGCTGTCTTCTGCTGTCTGTAGGAGCAGGTGGGACATGCTGCCGCTGCATCTTTTAAGGACTAGGTGTAGCAGCAGAATCCAGGGAAATCTGCATTCTTTTTTCATTTTAATTGACTGATAACAAATATCTGAGGATGTTAGAATACATATATTTCTGTATAAATTTCTAGTTCAACAACAGCAACCCAGGCATTTCTGGTACAAGGTACTCAGTCGAATGTGTGTTGAATGAATGACTTTTCTCTTTATCATCTGTAAATTGGTTAATTTGACAAGAATCAGAGAGTCTCATGCAAAAACTCCTTTTTTCCTGCCAATAATGGTTAGGCATGATCCGTTATTTTTTCGTACTTTAGGCAGAGTTGATCACTGTCTCCTATGGGCTTCCTGTCTGTCTGATTCCCACCTCTGTGGCACCTCTACCACTGTATCTTAATTATTTATTGGTGTGTCTTGTTCAGGGCCTCAGAGGCAGGCACGGCTGCGTCCTCCCACTGTTGCTCAGCACAGAGCGCGCAGCGGCAGTGCTTACAGCCAGATCCTTGTAGGAATTACGTAGTTTGTCCGTGTCTCGTACAGAACGCCTTTTAACCTGAGTTCTTCCTAGGTCGATTTAATAAACCCTGGGTTCCAGGCTTACACGTCTTCCCCACCATCTTGGTCACTTGAATTTTCAGCCCACTCAAAATAAATTCCAGAATAAAAACTAAATGCTAAATTCTGGCCCTGCATTTTCTGACATATTTGCCAAGTTCTGTAGGGGTCGGAGGACAAGGACTGAGGCTGCACAGCCTGCGGGCGTCAGGTACCTCTCCGCTCCAAGCTCCTCCAGGTGGACGGGGCCACTTCTGGAGGTGGTGAGTGATGAGCTCAGGTTACTTGGCCTTTTTTTTTTTTTTTGCCCAAGACTGGTTTCTGAGAAGAATCCACTAAATAGAATGTTAAACATTGTTTTTGTGTATCAGCTTTCTTGAAAGAGCCGTGAAAGGACCTTCCTGCATCTCCTCCCACGAATGTGGCCACCTCTCTCCGAGGCGCTGCCTGGAAGTAGGTGCTCCCTTCAGAGCGCATCTCTGTAGGGTTGTCCCAGTCGCCCCTGAAGAGCACGGAGCATGTTCTCTGGGGGCAGGCCATGTTCACGTTCTTGTCTGTGTCCCAGCTCCCCTCGTGTGTCCTTCACAGTGCCGGGACCCAGGAGGCCTGGGCCCTCCGCAATAAACATCTTGGGGAGAGGTGGCAAATGAACGAATTTATGTTTTCATAGTTGAAGGCCCCCCATAGGGAAACTCATCTGTCTATTCATAGATACACTTTTATCTATCTATTCGTATCAACACTTTTGTTGCCCTCTCCTGTGTAGTAGGTACTGAGACAAGGACAAAGTTTAAAAAAAAAAAGATGTTTTCTTTACTTTCCAAAAACCTATTTATACACACACAGCACCACAGCTACCCAGCCCCAGGGGGTGGGTTGCAGTATATACATGTGTAATGTGGGGGGGGCCCGGAGGAGGGAGTGATTGCCTCCTTCCTCCAAGACTAGAGGGGAGAACCTCAAGAAGATGATTTTCGAGCCATTTTTAAAGGGACTAATTTTTTGATATCTTAAAAATATTTTTATAGCTTAAAAATAACATATTAGGTGGTTAGTGTTTTTCTTTTTTTAAGGGTTGGCACTTGAAATCTTTGTGATGGGAAAGAAGAGAACTTGATAGGAATGGGAAGAGAATGATTCAGACAAACTGTTTTCCTGAAATTAGGCATCCTGAGCTCTTTATGGCTTTGCAATCACTGGAAGCCGAGTTACTCATAACACACCCGAAAGAGAGACGTTCTGTGCTTTTTCCTGCCTTCATCGGAAACACGACAGATTGCTGAGAAGGGCAGATGCGCAAATCTAATGAGCCGTCCCCCCGTTGAAAGAGTGCCCAGGAGTACTCATTAAACAAGGAGCAGCGGTGGAGGTGCGCTTCGCAGGGCTCCCGCCCCGCGCGCCATGCCTTTGCGTTGCCTCTTAAATTAAGCATGAAGCACATACCCACCCACCCACCCACACATGCCTTACCCACCAATGATGACTTCAGAATTTAACTCTAGTCTTTAATTTGTCTTGTCATTTTAGTATGCAGTAAGCACTGAATTATTTATTGTTAACTTACCCTTGATATGATGGGACTCTAATATTATGTCTTAGCGCCCACCACGGTGTCTGGCACATAGTAGGGTAGGCACTCTGTGTGTGTTTGTTCCGTGAGTGGAGGACAGATGAGTAAACGCATGGGATGCCGTGACAAGGCTCAGGGAAGTCCTGGGAGGAGCGGTGTTCCTGATAAACGCGTCCCTGTTTCTAAAGGTCGGATACGTGAACCGCCCTTTTGACAACCAGCAAATCGTGGAATGACCCCTGCATCCCCGAGCTCTGGGTGGGAAGACCTGAGATGCTGCTTCAGCCACACCACGTACCAGGACCAGATGCAAAGCACGTGGTCTCTCTGACTCGTTTTCTGAGCTGACTTCACTAGGACATTAAGTCAAATCTACATTCTGATCTTCTCTCTTAAAGCCTCCTGATATTCCACTCCCAACAGCAACCTGTCTTAACTAGTTTTTCCTCCCCGGCCACCTAAAAGTATCATGCTCCACCAGAACTTCACCCTAGTTAGCTAACCTTGCTTCTCTCTCTTATGTCAAATTGCCTTGATTTCTGGCCTCATAGGTTAGGAATAAGGAATAGAAATGTGGAAGTTGAGATTCAGGTATTAGAAAATGGGAGAATTCTAATAGCATAGCAGGTCCTTCTCCGAGTCAGTATATCCAAGAGTAATTATTAAAATGATTATATACACATGTGCATTTCTCTTAGCAGACAATCTCAGGGTGACGTCCGCAGGGGCATCTCTTCCTCAACCCTGCCTTACCTGGCTTAGCCAGTGCAGACTGAGTGCCGCTGTTTGCCTGAGCAGCACGCGCAACAGGCTGTTCACCCACTGCCTGTCTGCAGTTTACGGCAGCCCACTTCTTCATCTGTCCTCCAGCCACCCTCTTAGGGTGCATACAGTTGTCCTGCCCACTTTACAGGGGAGGAAACCTGATCTCGGTGGTTGAGTGGTTGACACAAGGCGTTGAGGCACTTTCCTAAGCTGCGGGGGAGCCACGGTCAGACTGGGCTGGCTTCAGGGCCCAGGCCCTTCGTCTCTGGGCTCTTCCGCCTGCCTGCACCTGTGATGTGCCGTAGTAGGAAGTAGGGATGATGTTGCAAGTTCTCAGCTGTTTTGGAGAGAAAACAGAATTTTTACTCTCGTTCACATCGATGCTGTATCAGTCCCACTGATGTTCGATAAAGCAGTCATAGCGCTGTGTTTTGACCACTCCTCTAAAAAGTTCACTTAAAACTTTTTCCCAGTCCTCTTGGTTTTTAAGATTCCTCATTGCCTTATAAATAAACAGAAAGTGCTGTGTACTGAACTGAGTGAAAATCAGTCAACTCTAAGGTAAAGCAGAAATTACGTCCATTTTCTAAGTAGAAAACTTCAGTGAGAAAAGAAATGTAAGCACCCCTCTTGCAGCTTTGTCTCTTAAACTTTCTGCCTTAGGTACTTGGCGCCTTCTGCCAGAATCATTAAGGGGGTCTCCATGCAGGGCCAGGTGCGTGGGGTGTGGGGGATGATTTGGCCTGGACCCTTGAGTCATGTGACTCAGCACTTGTGAGGGACGGGTGTGAGCTCACAGCGTCCCTGGCTGTGTATGAAGTCAACACAAGGATTTCAGTCTCCTCTCTTGTGGGAGTTCTCAGGGGAGGAAGGGTACAGCATCCCCAATGTAGTGTTTTTTGAGAGCCTGCTGTACTCGCTACATGCCCTGTGCTGCTGTCAAATGTAAGAGGTTTTATCTTTCCCACGTTGCCTCTAACTCTAGGGTAGCCCTCCAGGGCAGGGGGTTAAAACACTGACCAAGGGGCAGACGCTCTTGATTCCAGGTCTCACTTCCAATACTTAGGAGCCAAGAGGGCTCTGCCAAGGGAACTGGAGCTGCGCCTTCCCAGCTGAAAGAGGAGGGGAGTGATGTGCTTCCCCCAAAGATAACAGACTCAGAAGAACCCTCCCTGAATCTAAGAACAGCCTGGATGCAGCCCAGCAGACTCCCCAGAAAATGCTGCCAGAGGTCAGAGCACCGCTGACACGTTGAGAGCCAGGCAGGGCAGAGTGTTAGGGAAGGTCCTGCATGGCCCCTTGGACACTACGGGAGAGTGGGACAGGGACCGTCCGCAGCGGTGACACAGGCGGTGACCTGTGTCTGTCTGTCTTTGGGAGCAGCCTCGAGGAGTCCTTGAACAACTCCATTTCTCCCCAGCTGGTTATTCCCTGTTTAGGTCATAACCCTTATT